TTTATGAACGTAGAATGTTAGAATACGCATTTTTTACTTCACTACTGCTAATATAAAAAATATAACTATAGAAAGATTTATATTTTATTATTTATTCAAGAGATTTAATTCGTAATGGCATTCTTGCTGCCTTGTTTTTTACATGTGCTTTTAACTTTTATATCATCCTTTCTTACAGTTAGTTTTCACAAAATTATTATTATTGCCATTATGTCATTATTATTTTACTAATTACAATTGGACACTTTTAACATTATATATCTATAAGAAAAATTATTAGTTCTTTAGGACAGTAATAATAATAATAAATATGAATATGTGCATATTCTTTATTATTGATATAACATGCAAATAATTTCCTTTTTAATGTTAGATTAATAAGAAATTATCCGATTTATCCGCGTGCGAAAATATAAGTAAAACGGCTTCGTATATTTGCAATTGTTTTGCATAATGAATGTGTGCAAGCCGCTGCTGATGCATCGATCGAATGAGCATTTGGAATAAATTAAAATATCTTTCACTCACTCGCACCCGTAAAATTTCTTGATTCGCGCAAATCGCGTGCTTTCTCGAAAGTTCTGATTAAATATATCGATTAACATTAATACCGTTTCTGTCTCTCAATAGAAAGGCCATCACATGTAAAAAAAATTTTAATCGTAACTGTACAGCCGTAAGCAAAAATCGATCAATTACAGTCAAAGCTATAGTCTTACGTTTTGGAATATTCTATCATAATTGGTCGATATCTTACTATTATGATTAAAGGCACACAGAAAAACTTAAATAATAAGCAAGAAGAAATATTGCCTTGTAAGCACAGAATATTTCTAGAATATATTATTTATCCTTTTTAATATTCGTATAATATTTTAGAAATATTGAGTCTTATATGATGCTTACATTATTACGATCTCTACTGTGATTGTAATTCGCTTATTGTTTTAGTCTTACTGCTTAAACTTTTGTGTGCTATGGCCATAAAAACTGTTTGCATGTAATAATTTTAAAGATACTTAGGTCATAGCACGTATGTATCCAAAATTAGGACATGAGATATCCATGAGATGAGGTATCTACTGTGTCTTTTAGGTATTCGTAGTCAATTCTTACAAACAGTGCAAGAAACGCGAATAGATTTCTAATTAATATCTTAAAATATTATTTAAGACGGTTTTAAAATAAGAATGGCTTATAAATAATGAATATAAGCCTTAGGTCCAACCATACACGTTCAAGCAAATTTGTCAAATATGCTTGTGCAAGCTCTGTAAATTTGTTTGAATGTGTCAGAAAACTACAGTCATTTTGACTTGTACAAATGACTTTTTTGATGTTCATAAATTTGCACAAGCAGCTTACGTAAACATATTTAATGAATTTGTTTGAACGTGTAGTCGGTCTTAGACATCGTACAAATTTTTTTCGAAAATTGATTGAAAAAACTAATACTCGTTTATTTAAGTCAATAATAATATAAGAAGTTGTATAATATTGAGAAAAAGTTACACAGTGTGTGATTATAATATTCTTCACACTCATTACGTGTCTCGAATCGATCGAAATGTCAAATGCACTATGACGTTCCGATTTCCAGCACAATCCTGCAATTCCACTAATTAGCGTACAAACTGTCTCGTAAGTCGTTGTGAAATGGCACTGCTTAAATATCTTGTTGAAATTTGTGCTCAACGTGAGTGGACATTAATTTTTTACAGACATTTTAACAAATAATATTATGACTTTTATATATCTTAATCGTTGTGCGTTATATGTATCTCGTAATATGAATGTTTAACACAAAATTAATTGTGTGCCATGTCATAAATAATTCTTCAAGATACTACTCATTGTATAAATCCTAACAATATTTACGATCTTCAAAACATAAAGATGTCACCAGTGTCTTAGCTAGCCGATTGTTTTCGAGACGTTTGTTTGTCTTCTGACATTCAAAGCCGATTCGAGACGCTTGTTTGCCTTCTGATATTCAAAACTTTCTTGCAAGTTGCAAGGTGCGAAAAAAACTTTGTAATCACACAACTGTAAAAGAACCAGGATGAATCAATCAAATCTATATTATACCAGTAAATCGAAAATTTGTCGAGCGCAAAATAAACGACGAAATAAGAATTATCACGTCTTGATTCCTGAATTTACGAAAGATCTCCAAAGACGAAAACCGTCGCGTATAGCGACATTGGATCCTTCCGAAAGAAAAACTTTAAAACAAAAAACTTTAAAAAAAAATCGAGCAAAAGAAAAAGAGAGAGAAAGAGTATATAGAGATTACACGAGCAATCGTGTCGAGAAAAAGAGAGAGAGAGGATTTAGTATTATTTTTAGTACATCGAGCGCGAATCGGCAACGGCATTCTGGGATTTCGGCAAGCGAGGTAGTATCACGCGCGATGTGGTCCGGGGTGCGCACCGTGTGTCTCACCCTCACCCCCGACCCCTCCTGCCCTCCCACCACGCAACGAAAACTTAAAAATGCCGCCGCAGCGCAACCCGAATCGATATTCGCCGGTGCAGTCACGTGGCACGGTTTCGTGCCGCGCGGGCCAATGAGCGGCCGCGACGAGCGGATCTCGCTCCGCCTGTGCTCTACGGGACGACGACACGACATCTGCGTGCGGGTAGGCGGAACAACAGTCCGCGGCTGGTAGCGCACCGGTTCACAGTAGGCGATGTTCCGCTCTGCGGGCGGTCCACGTTAAGTGACCCCGACACGATATACATCGACGACGGGCGTTTAACCAGCATCGGCAGTAGCAGCAGCGACGGCGACAACGACGACGACGAGGACGACAACGAAGATAACGTCAACGGAAAAGACGAGCGAAAACGACATCACGACATCGACACGTGAACAAGGCACGGTGCGCTGTCGCTTCAACGCTGATCGCCCCTTTCGACACGCGTATATTACGCACGTATCACGTATGTCTGTGTATGGTGCCCTATCGTTCACCGGAAAAAGCGCGCGGGGCCGCGACTCGTAAGCGACTCCGTATTTACTCGTACATATTCGCCGTGGTAGTTGTCTCGCGTGCAAAAAAGAGAGTCCAGTCGTCGTGGCTACGGGACAGAGTGAGAGAGTAGAGGAAGTGACTGCGGTGTACGAGACGGAGATCGAGAACGCGCCGAGTAGTAGTGCTCGAAGGGGACGAGGTGGGGCAAGGTTGGTGTAAGAAGGAAAGGAGGAGCGAGGAAGCGAGATAGATGCAGAGCGTGAGATAAAGAGAGTGAGAGGAGGGACTTGCCGTGCGCGCGAATAGGACCGAGTCCGAGAAGAGAGAGAGATAGAGAGAGAGAGAGAGAGAGAGAGAGAGAGAGAGTGAGGCGAGACGCAGACGGTAAGAAGGAAGGGAACCAAGAGTCCAGAGACCAGACGGTACGCGATATGGTGTTTCTATACGAAGGAATGGTGCTCTTTCGTGAAAAGTAACTCTTGCGGACTGTACGGTGCCGTATGAATATAGTTACAAAGTTGCATTAGCTGCGTGTCGTATCTTCGCTCTCGTCGATATATCGTCGATCGTCGGTCGTTTCGCGGTCGATCGCGAGATAAATCCCGCTGTGTCCATCCCCCTCCCGGCACGACCATCACATAGTCGAGCTCGTGGATCGCGCGTTGATCCGTACTGTCGCGTCGACGCGGTGATATCGCGGTGGTCGGTGCGTAGCGCGGCGGCGATCGATAAACGCGATCGATATCGCGATTGTCGCTCGCGCGTTCGTGAGTGGTACATATATCATATCGGATACGTGTCGCGATACGCGCGCGCTCGCGCGCTGGAAAAACTCTTATTATGCGACTACCGAAGTCGCGCCATAATCGGGAACGGCGGGGATCGGATTAACCGAGAAGATAGAACGCGTAACGCAGAGAAGAAGCGGCGGAGGAGGAAGAAGAAGAGGAGGTGGAGGAGAAAGAAGAAGAAAGATTTCAAGATAGAGGGAGATAATCACCGCGACGGACGAGGACACGACGAC